GATGCTGCTTTGCTTTTGATTTAAATGGCTTGTGGGATGCCACGCCAGAGCTATCAATCAATTTAGATGGAAATAGGTGGGAGGTTTTGCATGAAGCTCTGAATCACCACTGGTATCTTTTCAGACTTGATATAGAGAGATCATAACCGGAGTGAATTTCAAAGCCTCCCTAACGTCTACCAAGGTAAGTGCTGCTGTACAAACAGGTCAGATGAATGAATGACAGAGACTTATATTTATAAAGAGATAAAGAGAAAACAGTGTGATAGCCACGTAAGTTGTGGACTTTATCAGTTGGGCTGATTTCAGTTTTAATCTGCTGAAACTGTATATTAAAAGCAGTTTAACTTCCTGAGACTAGCATGTATGCATGTACAACTCATTCTCTAATTTTTCCTTTGTCATTTTAGAGCAATTTCACTAAAACAACCATCTGAGACTTAGGTTAACCCATTAGGTCTTTGTCTGATTTTGATTTTGTTGTAATGTTTTACACTGACTGACAGCAAATAGTAGTAAAATTTATAGCTGACAAAATATGTAGTGAGCAAAGTGACAATAAACACAGCTCAACTGAAAGAGAACTGAATTGGTTTAACTCCTGTTTTCATGTCAGTGATTGAAAACCATGATTAATTAAACTGTCACATAGATATAGGAACAAGTATAGATAAAAAAAATAATAATTAAAAAAGGCAGCTCATTAAAGAAGTATTCCTGTATAAACTGGACCACAGTCACTGTAGTGTCTGAAAGTACTTGGTGTCATAACAGCTGTGTTAGGCAGCCAGGAATGGACCCAAAATCCAAACTAAACTCAAAACACAGCTTTATTGCTGGAATTATTCATTATAAACTAAAACTGGGAAAACACTTTAAACTAAACAGACAGACTAGCAGAAAACCCAGCATTCAGGGTGATCATGACAACCAGCGGAGGAAGAGGCAGACATTAAAAGCACAAGGCAAACGAAGGAATAGACCACAGGTGGGAACACAACTGAAAATAGTCTAACTAACGAGACGCGGAACCAAGACAGATCATGACACTTAATTGCTAAAGAGTTATTACATCTACATTTTTGAAACAGCCGTTTATAGAGGAATTAACCTGAAATAACCAAAATGCTATTTATGTCATCAAAGATCCATTTAGACTGGTCTACACTGTTAGTGCTCTTTAAACATCAAAATAAACTAAAACTCAATACGATGGGTCAGATGACCCGAGATCGTGACAAAGGGATCAGACACTGAACACAGTGTATGATCCGCCAAAGAAGAACAAAAAACAAAAGCTATCTCACTATTCAGTTTGATCTCACTTGCACTCTTATTTTGTAAATGTCATTACAACAATTTATTTAAATTAGTATTTCTATTGTTTTGTGTTCTTTTCTTTTTAAATATTAGGACATTTCACTTGAAATTTGAAATGTTTTATTGATTTCTTTAAACACACAAGCACCTATATCTGTGCAATTTACTCTAGTTGTGTTTAATGAAGAGTTTATTGTTCCCAGCATTTATCAGTAGAGCGTTATGTGGACACAGTAGACGCTGCTCTTCCTCACTATAAAATTTCTGTTCTGTGTCCTGTCTGTGCAGGCTTTTTGTCCACTTTTCTCCTGTGAAAAACACAATGACGAAGCACGTTGCCCTCTTGCTCATTCTTTTCCCCGTGTGTGGACATCTGCTGGACATCAAGTTTTATAATAACCCTTACGAGTATACCTGGGCAGATGCACTGGCATACTGCAGGCAGCACCACACTGACTTGGTCCGAGTGAGAACTGCAGAAGAGAATAAAGCTTTACAGTACTCTGGATGGATTGGTTTGTCCCGGAAGGATGCAACAAGTCCATGGAAATGGTCCAGAGGAGACGAAATAGCCATCTTCATACCATGGGATGGCGGTAAATTCTCATACTATGTTTTTTACTCCTTAGATGTTACCTGGCTTACAAGACCAAACTTACTGGTAATTATTCCAAACTTATTTGCATTGTGACCTGAAATCGATTTGAGATATTTTGAGCATTCAACAATTTAAGTGGTGAGAAAGGATCAGATTTACAGTGTGGAGCAGTGTTGTCTATCACAGTGTTGACTGTAGTGAGTTTCACGAAGTCCCAAACCAACTGTTTCAGCTGGAACTTCAGCAAGGAGGGTTTGTTAGACACATAAACACTGTACTGGTAAAATGATTTGATACTGAATCTAGTTGAATAGACCTTTAAAACATCTCTGAAATCTATCCAAGTTTTTTTTTCTCTATTGTACTTCGACTTCTTGCAGCACCAAAAGAGGATGAAAACTGTGTGAACGGAAGAAGCGATGGAAAATGGGAAAGCAAGAAGTGTGATGAAAAACGTGATTTCCTATGTTATGAGGAAAAGCTGATTCTGGTGAAGGAGAATAAAACATGGGAGGAGGCATTAGAACACTGCAGGTCTCTGGATGGAGTGGTCACAGAAGATCCAGCCTCTTCATACAGGAACCACGGCTATGACCTGGCCTCCCTGATCACTCCAGATGACTACACCACTGCACGAGAGACCGCAAAAGAGGCTACCACTGATGAGGTTGGGCAGTTTTCTGCATGCGTTTGTGTTGGTGAGAGACTCATAACTATACTTACTGTAACTTTGTTTGTTTCTCTTTGTTTACTGTTGGCAGGTGTGGACAGGCCTGTGTAACCTGGCTGGTGAGTGGCTGTGGGTGGGTGGAGAAGAAATGCAATATGAGGATATCCCAAAATGCCCAACCGAGGGCCTCTGTGGCGTCCTCGAGAAGAATGGTAGTTCACCCTACGGCATAAGAAACTGCCAGCAGAAAAGGAACTTTCTCTGTTCCAAAATGAATTAAGTGCTGTACTTAAGTAAACATTTGATATATCTGTACTTACCTTTCCATCTTATGACACTTAGATACATGTGTGTCAAAGTAAACAGGAGAAATAATCCAAAGCAGACTCCACAGACAGGGTTAAACAAAAATGAACCGTTATTCAGGTATATGAGTGAGTCCAAAATTAGAAATTCCAAGAACAATGGGAACCTGACCAACACTTTACACTACCAGTTAAAAGTTTTTGAGTTAGAATAATTGTACCTTCATTCATGATGTATGTTACAAATATATCAGTTAACATAGTCAGTACATTGAAAAGGTGAGAAATAGTGATGAAATGTTTTCATACTGTTAGATTATACAATGATGATAGATTAATGCAAACCAGAAAAATCATAATGTCTTGTTATATGTGTTATTTTCCTAATGTAGTTGTGTGACATGTCAAGTAAATCCTGGACTATACATAATTTAAAAGTTGTCTCAAGTCAATAAAGATATTAAATAAAGATTAATGTGCAGTTAAGCAATTATTTTTGTCTTTATAAGCAGTGGTGAGGGAACCATATGGTTACTTTCACTGCTATGAGGCTTTTTTTACATCTAAAACAGGCCGCCTTGTATTCCTTTTGAAAAGAATGTTTTACAGAATTCGAGAAGTACACTCTAACTACATACATAGGAATTAAGAGGGAAAGTCAGGTAATCAAATCATTTTGACTAACTGATTATCTGGAGGTAATCACCGCTAAAAGAAGACATTTTCGCAATTTGCTGCATCTTGCAGTCGTTAAGTTGACTATAAATTTCTCTGCATACCAAAGTATCTTGAGGTAATTATAAAACTTGGCTGGAACTGGGTCAGGCAATAGGAGAATGATTCCAATGATGGGTAGTACACGTGCACATTCATGCTCAGGCACGTGCAAAGCCAGCACTAATATTCTTCTACCTTCTTATTTCTTTATTTTTACTACTTTCTTCATTGTAGATACAAACTGAAGACATCAAATATATCAAGCAATATATTGGAATAATGTAGCAAAGAAAAAATTTAAAATAAGTTTTATATTTTAGATTCCTAAAAGTAGCCACCCTTTGCTTTGTTGACAGAGCTGCAAACCCTTGGCCTTCTCTCAGTGAGCTCCATGATGTAGTCACCTGAAATGGTTTTCATATCACAGGTGTACCCTGTCAGGGGTCATTTGTGGAATTTCCTTAATGGTGTTGGGACCATCAGTTGTGTTATGCAGAAGTTGGGTTGGTTCACAGCTTACAGCCCTATTTGAGAATGGTTAGAATTTATACTGTAATATGCAAGAACCAATCAGCTAAGTAAAGACAAACAACAGTCCATCATTACATTACAGAAGGTCTAGGTCAGTCAACTTTGAATGTGTCCCCAAAAAGCATTTGTTTGGGCCAAGAAACACAAGTAATGGACATTAGACCTGTGGAAATCTGTGCATGGATTGATGAGTCCAGATCTTTGGTTCCTAATGAGATTGTTGGAAAACCATTTCAGGTGACGACCTCATGAACGTCATTGAGCAGTAATGTGATTGGTTCACAAGGGGCTGGGAAACAGAAGGGGGAGACAGCAGAAATGTAGAAGAAAAATCAAAGACTAAAAATATAGAATGATCAATAGACACTGGCTGTGGTGGAAACATTTTTTTTAACATTTTGATCCACTTCAGCATTTTGTATGTCATAACTTCACTTGTCTCTTCCACTGGCTAAAAGATCAACAACAGCAAAATCAGGAGTACCCTACTTCCTTGAAAACAACAGGTAGATGCAGGTAGATGGGCAGTCTGTTACTGCCTGTGGATTACCTTTGTGCTACTCCCACTTTAGCATTAAAAAAAGTGTAAGTAGTGTTTAGTTTAGTAGTGATCCCTACTATTGGACACTTTACCCCATCCTAAAAAATGTGTGAATCTGAGCATTTAGAGCAGTTTAAAGTTTTTGGCATATTTGGACTACCTATATATTATATACACTGACCAAAGCATGATGTGAGACTTTATTATGATAATAGAACTTTATGTGCACCTACAATATTGTAATTTTGATACAACTTTACTTTGTTTTCCCCAGTGTATTGAAGTAATGCCATTTCTTTTTGTTCTGATCATCAGGAATTCCACAGAAATTCAGCACTGTGGATGAGATGGTCAAGTTCGTCACCATGGTGATCTTCACTTGCTCTGCCCAGCACTCAGCTGTCAACTCTGGGCAGGTGAAACCTTCTAACATCATTTAATTTCATTTATTTAGGTTGTAATAGTTTAAGGCCATGCAAGAACCTTCAAGACCTTAAAGTGGTAAGATTAACCACCTTACAATATATCAGAAATAAACTACAATCACTTTACAAATTTCAATTGCTAAGCCCCAAAAGGTTGATTCTGTTCATCTGGACGTAAAGTTTTCAGTGGAGAAACGTCACTACTCCAAGTGACTTCAGTCTCAGCTACCTGAACACATCCTGGACAGGGAGGAACACAGGGAGTCAAGGAGGCCATTTACACAAGAAGGGAAAAAACATCTCTGAATCGAGAAGGAGGCCTAAGGGTACATCTTTCACCGCCTTACAATGCTGTGATTGAAGCCATTCCCCAACTCTCATTAAATAGTGCTCATGGCCATTGATCAATGGTCTTAGATCAGTGGGCTTTGAAAAGTTGCCTTTGATCAAAGGTCATGACAGTTTGCATATTCATGATAAACGAACTTACCTCACATCCCTTTCAGTTGCGCTAGTGTCAGTAATTGCGTAAAGGTTGGGGAAACCTGCAGTCAGCTGAGACTGAAGAAGTCACTTGGATGAGTGACGAAATGTTTCTTCCACTGAAAATGCTACATCCAGATGAACAGAATCAAACTCAATTTACTTACCTGGATGATATAGCATTATTCAAGACATTAAAGGCAAAGGAGCATTGTTTAGTTAGCAAAATAAATTATTGCCAACTCCATGAATACTTTTCTCTCAATTTGGGAAAACACTTCAGTTAACAAGTGTTCCTTTGTTAGTGGCAGGATAATTTATAAAAGGTAAGTATACTTAAGTCCTAAGAGAATATTAATTTTAGAGTCTGGCTTGACTGATGATCTCAGGTCCATCTTGCTTTTCACATTAAATTTTTAGTGATGGCTGAAGCTCAGGGGTAGAGCAGGCTCCGTACTAGTTGGAATTTTGGTGGTTCAAACCCTGTCGAGTTTGAGTTTGTATGCCAAATATCCTTGGGCAAGATGCTAACCCTAAGTAACTCTATGATGCATCCAGTGGAGTGTGAATGTTAGAAAGCACTTATGGAGACATAGGAAAATGTGCTTTGAGTCTCCAGGAGAGTAGCAAGTGCTACATAAGAACCAGTGCCCACTCACATCCTGGGCCATTTGACCTAAGGCTATGTCCACACGAATGCGTTTTCAAACGAAAATGCATCGTTTTCCAGACTGAGCCGGCATTTTCCTCAAGGAAAAACACAGTGTTTTGGAAACGCTCTCGAAAATGGATACATTTCAAACTGGAGGTGTCCTGTCGCAGTGTGGGCGCTGGAAAACGCAGACTTTCTAAAACGATGACGCATTTTAGTCATGTGATGCAGTCATGTGACCAATTGAACAAAGGGCATTATACAGCAGTTGTTTTGATTGCTCTCAATTTTAACAGCCCTATTAAAGATTAATATCAGTATTTACATGCTCCAGATAGCTTTTCTTCAAATTGTTTAATTCTCACTCGCTTTTGTGCATGCGCAGGACTTGAATATAGGCGTTTTTGGCCATTTCAATGTGGATGCACAACTCTTTGAAAACTACTGAAAACGGTAGTGTGGACACAGAGCGTTTGCTATATGTGGAAGGAAATCATAACCTAGGACAAGCTGATGGCATAAAATGTAAGCACAACTCCTCTGGTTTCATATGCAAAAAAAAATTTTGCGGTAGCTTACGTGTTTCCAGTTCTACAGGGATTTAAAAATAGTTAAGCAAAATGGAGCGTGCCCACTCTGACCAGTTTAAGATGGTTAAAGTGTCTGGGAAGGAATCTCAAAATTGGATTATAGATGGCAGACAGTTGGTGTCATAAACCACCACCTCTGTTCAAGGATGATCATCCACAGTGGACAAAGATGAATTCTTTCATTACTCAGCTGTCTTCTCTGTCCAAAATGCGAACATTGGCATCCTCAAAAGAGTGACCTTTGTTGTTCAGATGCAGAGGAACATCTTGAACGTCTTGCCTGTCAACGTGACTCTTCTATGTTGTCCCATGTGTTTATGAAGTGGCTGTAGAGATCAAAAGGGTTAGGGTTGATGGTATTCACATTTTGGACAGAGAAGACAGAGATGGTTTGAAAGAGGAGTGAAAGAAGCCATCAATGTCCACTGAATGACCAATAAACAGGGGTGGTGTTGGCTACCTACAATGCAATCTTGAGATCCCTTTCTAGTCCAGTCACCTTCATTCAAGCTCTTAAAGATCTCTTCATCAAATATTTCTAGTTTTTGGGTCAGCAATTTAAGGATGCACTCTTTTCCTTCATGTTTGTCCTTAATCAAGTTAGAGCCTAATGTGTATTACACCCCTTGACTCTCCAGGCTTGACCAAACACCAATATCACACTGCTATGTGCTTCAGAGCCTATTAATGACCTTTCCTTTACTCCTTCAATGCAGTACGACTTTGGGGCCTGGATGCCCAATAGTCCTGTCACCTTGCAGCTTCCCCCACCAACTAAAAAGGGGAAAGCAAGTGAAAAAAGCATGATAGATACATTCCCCAATATTCAAACAACAGTTCATGGCATGGCCGTCATGTGGCTACTCAGCAAGCAGTCCTCTGACTCTGTAAGTGTTCAAGTTATGTAATGTACATCAAAATGTCAAAATCAAAAGTCATACAACTATGCATTTTGAGTGGAAGAAGCAAAACATGCCAGTGATCTCATATCTATCTCATCAGATCTTTCTTGGCCAGTACCCAGAGGAGCATTTCACTGAGGAGGTTCCCTGCCAAAAAATAAAGGATTTCCAAGTAGAGCTCAAAAGGCTGAGTGCAGAGATCAAAGCCAGAAACTCAGTGTTGGACCTGCCATACACATACTTGGATCCTGACTTGACTGAAAACAGTGTGTCCATTTGAATATTAGAAGGCAGCTTCTCTTCCTTTAGTTCAGTAACAAAAACAGAAAAGAAAGTGAAGTTTGAGCTCTGCCTGAAACTCATTCTATTGATTTAACTTTAGTTTACCAGCAATTTCTAAAATATTCTTCTGAGTTAATACAATGACCAGGTTTTATGTTTCAGGTTTTATGTTTCATAATTAGAAAATATATCAGTGGAAAGAGTGTTTCTGATTTATAATGATTTCTACTTTTTTAATCATAATTTTAAAGCTGTTTCTCTCTTTAATAATGAAAAGGTAAATACGTAGATAGAAAGCTGCTAGGGTGAGAAGGGCTTTAAGAAATAAGGTCTCCATTGCACTTCTCTGGTTTTTAATTCTCAATTTTGTTTCAATACAAGCTTTATATAATCAATATTTTTGTCTTATTGCAGTATATTGCATGAATCCATAAAAAGTGTACCTACTTTGAAATAGGAAAATTAATAGCTATCTATATCATTTTTAGAGATCATAGAGATTTAACACAGATATAGACAGACATGAATGCATAACTTTATGATGTTTCATTTAAAATTCTTAGAAATTTCTGCCTGTGAATACATGATTTAAAGGGTGAAGAAGGAGCTTACTATGTTATTTTTCTGTGTGAACTATACTTAGGCCCTGTTTATATCAACTGATTTTTAAGCTTGCCTGACATAAATGATGATAGTTTGATCTCTTTCTGAACTGTTTTCTGTATGTAAAAGATGGAATATAAACACTGACCCAGTCAAAATCCTCGTTTTATTGCAGATTGCTTTTGTCATATTTACATGAAGGCGTGGAGTCCTAAGATATTAGTAAATACTAGCAGTAAGGACGAAATTAATAAGAATTTAGCGATTCTGATTCCATTATTGATATCATTTATCGACTGGATTCCTTATTGATTCTCACTGACTCCACTTTGAGAGTCACCACCACCACTAAGCAGAATATCAAAGACATTACTTACATTCATGCAAATTAATTCTGTGTGGTCAAATATTTGTGCATGTTGGAGGTATGTCCCTCTTTGTTGCGATCAGTGTTGGAACATTACTCAGTAAAGTAAAGTAAAAAGGTTCCTACACAAAACATTTTTCTTAAAAGTAATGCACTTAATTACACCCAGGAGAAAGACATTCATTATACTACCTGTTACATTACTTTCATATTGCTTAAAAAAAACAAAAAACCTGAACCACACTCATAATTACTATTTGACAGTATATACCTGAGGCTCCAGCCCCACACAACAACACAAATCCCTATAATAATGAGGACACACATGATTTTTCTCTTAGTACTTAGGTATGAAAACAAAGCCGACAACACTGTATTCAACACTGTATTAACTGTATTCTAGATATAAAATGGCAGAAAACTTTTTACAGCTTAACCAGGGCAAAAACTGAAATTTTAATCATCGGTCCTGAGGCTCAGAAAGAGAAACTCTTGTCTAAATTACAGGCATTTTCACTATGTCCTTCACTACAAGTGAAAATGCCTGGGTGTTATTTTCGACTCTGAGCTTGGTTTTATCCCACATATTAAACATGTAACCAAATTTGGATTTTATCATCTAAAAAATATAGCCAGAGTCCACCCTATTCTCTCTCGGGCCAGCACGGAGATGCTGATGCATGCTTTTATTACCAGTCGCATTGATTACTGTAATGCCCTGCTCTCTGGTCTTCCCAAAAAGAATATTTCACCTTTACAACTTTTACAAAACAAAATAATTCTGGGTTCTTGGCTAACTTAGCATTAGCAAGTGGAGGCGAGAAGCCAAAGTTGTGTTAACAGTATACTGCAGTTGTTTCTGTCCTGGAGCAGTCTCCACTTCATACTCTCATCCTTTTGTGCAATAAAAATAAAAGTATTGTCCATATCCACAAGCTAAAATATCCAAAGGCCACACAGGTTTGTTTGTTTGTTTGTTTGTTTGTTTAAACATGTCCTGCCAGTTGTAACAGGCAAAATTATGGTCTGAATGTTTTGTTGTGCCAGACATATTTGGTTTCCCTAGAGGAGCACCGTATACTTTCTGTAGACAAATATAAAATTTTGCTGTGTGTGTGTGTGTGTGTGTGTGTGTGTGTGTGTGTGTGTGTGTGAGAGAGAGAGAGAGAGAGAGAGAGAGAGAGAGAGTTACAGACAGAGAGAGAGAGAGGATGTGTGTGAGTGTTAGTAGCAGAATGTACTAAAGGAGACGCCGGCCGCCCACAGCAACCAAGAGAGCTGAATAGCCACTACAATATTCTCCTGAACGATAGGTGTTGCCACTCAGAGAGTACCACCACATAAGCGCTGATATAGCCGGAGAAGAATCTTTTTTTTCCTCTTTTCATCTGCCTTTGTATATTTTTATATTTCTCAGCTTCTGGAATGTCATTAAAATGGCTATAAAAACTGACATGATCACACCATAGGATGTGACATCATCTTCGCCATGCTGTGCTGTCCAACAGGGGCTCAGAGGTGAGAAATAAAACCCTACAAGGCTGCCACCTGAACTGTGTAGCATCAGTTTCACCCGCGATAGCTCTGGCAAAACAATCACTCTATAATAGAAAATGGCAACCAGAACCCAGGCCCCAGGAAATCTCTGGGAGAAAAGTCCCACCCCTAGCTGCTCTTTTCCAGAGAGGACAATGCAGGCAAGACAGCAGATCTGAGAACAGACCGCTGCAGGTTGTAAACTCTTAATTTTAAGTGTGGCCAGAATGCCAAAAGGCATCAACACCAGCTGCCACTGGAGACAGAGTGCTAAAAATAAAATAGTCCTATTATTCTGCATTTACAGTTTTTTACAGACGCTAGGACACATTTCTCAATACTTAGGTCACTTTTGCAAAACTCTTCACACAATCCTCCTAACTGACCGTCAGCTTGGCAAAGCAGTTCATTTCACATTCAAAATGCACTACAACTACCAAAACACTTTTTTCAGGTCTCAAATGAACACATTCCTCCAGAACACTAGCAAAGGTTGACAGCCGACAAACACACTTTGTCACCCACAAAACAATGACCTAAAAAACACTAACAACATGTAGCATGACACAGTGTTTCCTTGTGTAAAACAAGGACACATCTCTGTTTATAATTTCAATATATGTTACTTATATGTTACTGGAATGAATCAGACATCATGCAGAATTCATTAATATTTGTTTCTGTATTTTTATTGTTTTTGCAATAAGTAATCCCAAAATACAAGAATTTGTATACACCCCATCCACTGATAGTAATGCTAATCTACTCGGTCTCCTCCATTTGGCCACAGGTTCTCATCCATATCACATCTTATGTCATCTAGGGCAATACACCTAGGAAAGAATCTTCTGGCTGCCAGAATTGAAGGAGTTGAAAGATTGAAGGAGTAACACCTGTGTAGATGTTCATCTACAATAAGAATCAGCTGTGGCTGGTTAAACTGCATTTTTAGATTTAAAATATGTTTCAATAAAATTTTCCTTATGCATTTTGCTGTCTTTTTAAGTTTTGCATTGTGTTATTGTTTTGGCCATAAGTTTAACAGTTTTGAAAACAGTATGTAAGCACATGCAAAATGTCCTGTATGTACAAAGATTTTTGGCAGTTGTTGTGTCTGAGTGAGAAGATAATTCATGAAATTTGAGAGATGTAGTCATTGAATGCATTTTGTGCCAAAACAATGATAACTGATCCTCAGTTTAGCCCACATAGACTTCTGTTGTGCTCACTGTGTAAGGAGTTTTGCAAAAGTGACCTAAGTATTGAGAAATGTGTCCTAGCGTCTGTAAAAAACTGTAATGATTGCAACTGTAGGAATGATGTTTCCTACACAGCAAAGTGTGGGTAACCTACAATAAGGTGCAGACATGCAGCTTACCTGTAGCTGTTGTGAAACACAATCAAACCACCTGAGTTTACCACCACAAACTACTGACAGCTAACATCATCCTCCAGAGAAGGAGAGAGAAGAATCAAAGCAGAGAGCACAACCCACCCAACCACACTTATAATTCAGTGTAATTCATTTCAATGAAACCTCAGCAGAGGGTTGCTGAGCTAATGAACAATCTTTAGGGTGGATTCACTTGATTTGTGTGTGTTGCAGAATGTGGCATGGTGGAAAATTGAGAAAATCCCCCACTAAGCATTGGGTTGGTATTATTTTTCATTTTAATAATCGCATGCTTTAGTGTTTTTGTGTGAGCTGTGAGGTGTGGGCCACAACCATGTGGAGTGGAGATTCTACTCTAGTCCAGCTGCCAGCTCTTTGGAGTGCACTGTTACAGCATGGAAGCCAGTTGACATGAGACATGAGAAAAGTGCACATTTTAAAGGAAATTATTTTTAACCTAACCTGGAAGTTTTTGCTTTTAAAATAATCAAATGACACTGGAGGGAGGACTCGTTTTAATCAGGATTCCTGTGGATTTTCTGTGATAAAATTACTGGAGTGGAGATGCTCGGTGTGCTGAGTTCATGGAGGAATAGCCTAGTCTGGAATTAAAAAGTAACCAATGAGAGGAAGTTGGTAAAGACTTCAGCTCTCAAACTTCTGAAGTTTGAGAGCTGAAGTCCCAGGATCTGGTGTGGAAACCTACTCCTTAATAAAAGAAGCCCTGATAAGGTGGATGGAAAGCCTTTCTCAGAAAAATGCAAGATTGATATGTGTTTGGCTGCTCTTTCCCTTGACGTACCACTTTTTCCTGTGTGTAGCCAGTCTAACATTTCTAACCATGGCAGCTTTGGGCCTTTGATTGCAGTCCAGAACTTTGTCTTCAGCCACTAGTCTGCTTTAGAGCAAAAATAAATCTTGCGTTACTCCATTTTCAGTGTGTGTGGTGGTTTCCTACTGGTCACTATTAGAACTTAACACATTCTTGTAAGGAGGCTGTGGCGGAGGTGTGGCCCTGGGCGCGGCTGCAGGGAAGGAGTGGTGCAGTGAGCTCAACAGGGTGGTGCTGGAGAGGCAGGTGAGAACACAGTTGATGGAGTTTGGGCTGATGACGGTTTCCTTCTCCTTTTTTGTGAGACGGGAGAGGAGCGGAGGGGAAGTGGGGATCAGCTGAGACGGGAGCTGTCCAGACGGTGGACTGTCAAAACGAATAAAAACTCAGAATAAACGTTGCATCTGGCAGTAACAAACTGTGT